AGGATCTTTACACTGCCCTGCAAAAACACAGATTTTTGCAGCATTAATCAATGTCATGCGCACTGATTTGGGTGACGACCAAGTAATGAGCTTCCTCAATGATAAATGGCTTCTAAGAGACTGATGTGACGGAGCAAATGGTGGAAGAGGCTGCGTTCCAATATTTGATTGCCTTGGCTTTTTTACGGCGTCGATCGCATGTTCCTCCATCGGGTTCTTACGAAACTAGGAAAGTGTTACTTTCTGTGAGGTTTAAGTTAGATTCAGATGAAGTTTTTTTTGACCTGGGATTAAGTGAGGCTGAAGTGTTTTAACTGCTTCATGTGTTTGCTTTAAAAAAAGAAAGAAAATTCCCCTTCAATGTGTTGACGTTAGCTTGTCGTGTAACCTTCAGCTATTATTGGCTAAAAGTTAGCCGGAAAGAAAACTGAAAGATAGCTTTGATTTAGCATAGAGTTTGCTAAACAAAACTTTAAAAATGGAAATTTCTTTCATTCATTTAGATAATTCTACCTTAAAGGAGATGAAGTAAACTCTTTTTTTTTTTTTTAATTTAGACTAATACAATGTTGATGTATCCCTTTTGTTCATGGAAGAACACACATTTCATGTCTCGCAGCTGCTGCCACACGCCTCGGCCGCCCACCGACGTTAAACGTCCACTGCAGAGCTGAAGCTCTTTACAAAAATTAACTCTGTGTCGGCGTCGTTAATTCCTGCAGCTGAGCGATGCTCTTCCAAATGAAATGGCAATTCACTATAACAAAACCATGATGAATGTGTGTTAATGTGTGTGTGTGTGTGTGTGTGTGTGTGTGTGTGTGAGGATGATTTCTGCCTCTGAAGGTGAAACATCTCCAGAGACAGAAGTAAATCTCCAGGGACAGGAAGCAGGGTGTAAAATTAGATAGAACACGGAGCTGAAGGCTGTAATGGAGACACAGACCTGATGTTGGCGCTCAAACAACTTCAGTTGACTATTAATCCATTAGAGAAAATCACCTGCTGCATTAATCCAGCTGTTAAACATCCGGCTGAAAATAAGATCGCCTTCCCTCTGCAAGTCATTTCTCTGGACTGCACATGTAGTTCAGATATTTACCACTGGAGGGCCCAAACCAAACCAAGGCACTTGCTGAAATTGTCAACAGAAAAGCCTGGCAGTAACCTTAACAAATATTCTAATTTCAACTAAACTCAGTTGGTTCAAAGGGGGGCTCGCGTTTGAACCAACGACTCCCTCCTGTGGATGTTAATGGCATTGACTGGTGATGAGGTCATTTTTATAGTTAATCTGTTAAATACCTGTTTGTTTTACTTGAACAAATATTTCCTAAGCGAATTCTTGAGTTGGAAAATAATAATAATAATAAAGGGATATTGCAGATATTTTTTAAAGTCATAACCTTATAACCTGCTGTCTTCCCTACAGTACGACTTGGCTTTAAAGAATTAGCTGCCTGCACATTAAACACACACACACTGAATACATTGATTAATGCAGCTGTAACTTGATATGCAGTAAATATTGACTCTGTTTCCTGTCTTCATATCAGAGCCTCTGTCTCCTCTTCAGTGGAGCAGGAAAGTGACTTTTCAGCATTCCTCCAAATCTACTCAGGATTACCTCAGCACTTTGTCAAAGTCTGATGGGATTAAATGCCAGATGGGAGTTAAAAAAACCCAAATCTTCGTTTTCCAGGTAATCCCGTCCATAATTCCTTTGGTTCCAGTGAAGTCAGACAGTTTGATTGTGTTGAGAGAGCAGTTAGCAGCCTGTGTCAGTGCCGCTGAGGGTTTAAATCCCAAAGGACCTGGTGCTAATGTGACATGGTCAGATGTCAGCAGAGTGAGACTGAGGGCAGCAGAGTTGACTGCCCACCACTGGTGGATGAGTGCAAAAGCAGGAGTGGAGGAATGTTCATTTGAGGACTGCGTTGTGATTGGTTGTTAGGAAATAAAAGTTTTTTTTAACATGTTTGCTCTGGTTATATCAGCTGCAGTCTGTAGTCTGAACAGGAAAGAAAAATCTAGAATCACCTTTGAACTCTAGTGGGAATAGTTTGATTTTGGGAGAGAGAGGGTGAGAAAAAGAATGTGAGAGTAACTGGGTGAGAGGAACAGTTTGAGATTGTGTGATAATTGACAAGTGAAGGAACGAAGGAAGGAGTGAAGGAAGGAAGGAACAAAAAATAAATAAGCAAAAAAAAAAGACTGAAACTGAGAAAAGAGAAATGGACAGACAGACAGATCTAGAGACAGAGAATAAGAAAGTGAGTAACTAGGAAAGAGAGAGAGAACTCGTCTGTCAGCTGCCTCCGTTCAGCACCGCGGACAGCGTCACGTCACTGGGTTATTCAGGAGCTGTCCAAGAACCACAGGCTGTTTATAAAATATGGACGTACTCTGCTGCAGCAAAGCCACAGAAATGGACAGAGATGTTCTTCCAGTAACTTAATAGAAAAATAAATTAAGCTCTTTTTTTTCCCCCTGAATGAGAACCAGTTTGAAACTGAAACGTCAGCTGAAGTACCATTGGCAGGTGCAGCTAATTCTTTTTATTACAAATATCAAATCTTGAACTGTTGGAAAAAAAAACCCTAAAGAGACTCTTTCCATTCAATAAACGCGGGGCTGTGACCCAGAAGGCCTCAACATCGTCTCATAATTTGACTTATTTCTCATCCAGATGCCATCAAACAAATGCCCCTGAATGACTCTCCTCTCTGCTGCAGAACACATCCATTCACCCACTGCTGGACAGAAACTTATTTCTATGCTAATGGTGTTGACAAATGTGCTGTGATCGTGATGCCGTTTTTTGACCGGATTTGAATTGCGGCCCGCTCATGAATTGAATTGTAAATCACATTATCATAATTGCATTTTCAGCCAGGATTTATATGCGCAGCAGGGCCGCCGCGCCCCAGTTAGCTGGACGTGACATTTCTGTCACAGGTCTGATTCCAAACACCGCGGGAAATTTCCTGAACGCTCTTATTTTAGCGCCGTCTCTGTATACTTTCTCCCTGTGTTACTTATTTCCATTCATTTATTATTTGTTTTCTTTTCCCCCTGCTGGCGGTACATTCACTTTCTCCTTTGTCCGCTTCCATCTTCCATCATGTGTCTCTGCTGCATTGGACATGATGACAGTGAGTTATCCTCCGGGTATGGCTGTACAGTGTGACTGTCTTTTTATATAGCTCCCTCTGACACACACACACACACACACACATCTCATCTCTCTGTCATTGTATTTTTTATATCCCACCACTTGGCATTGACACATTGTGTCTCTGTCTTTGTCAATATGCCGCTGCGTGTTTTATCACCCCGTCTATCTATAGTATTCATCTGGACCGGTGCACGGGCTGCTGTAATGTGTCGGTGCAACTTGATTTATTTACATCTCCTCATATTACACCGCCGACATCAGCAGCAGACACTTCTCTATAAAAGTGCTGCTCTGGTAAGACACCAGAAATAAACAAATGTAAAGTCACTCCACGTTCATTTCTGTCCCTGGTCCAGACCGGAGAAAGTCCTGGTTCCTGTTACTGAGATTAGTGGATAATTGATTAGAGATAATTGTTTTTCAAACAACGTCCCGTGTCGTACAAAACAAGTGTTTGAACTGGGGCTGGTGTTTCACAACTGACAACTGATTTGTGACTCAATCCGGCTTCTC